AAGCTTGTTCCGGACGAGTACAAGACTACAGAAAACAATTAGAAAGCAAAGTGTTTAAAACGTACACAATCTGTTGAAATCTGTAATGTAGCTCAGCTGAATTTAAGAATTTCAATCTTCAGCTATAGCGGACGAAAGAACTGCGAATGCTGGTAGTTTTGCTGACAGAAATAAACCAGAAAGACGACAACAAAAGACAAGCATTTGTTACCATTAAGACAGCTGAGTCTGACAAAATTTGAACTAAGAAGAACTAAAATTTTAGACAAAAGCTATCTCTAACAAACTTTACAAAATATAAAATAAAGAAGACTTAAAACTGAGACTGAAACAAACACAAACTGAGTTAATCATAACGACATAAATGTGATGTAATTTTGACATCTAGCTTACTCCGCCGACGAGATAATACGGTACAACTATCTAGTCGACTCTTTCTGTTACTTTTAGTAATAAACAACAAACTTCGTTTACGTACTGGTGAATGCAAGCATTCACGGAAGTTAGCTCATCAAGTACCATAATTATTCTTCCACATTATATTTTCTTTTCTTTCTTATCAATTCAAACGTTCCAACGCCACGAAAGTACTAAAGTGTAGTGTGTTTTGTGTGTTTCATTTTTGTTTTTGTTCTGAACGTCACTGTCTAGGGAGACAAAAGATTGAGTAAACTAAGGGCCTGTTCACATGGAAGTGGGGGACCCCGGGGTAGGTGAGGTAACTTATGGCGGGTCAACCCGCCTATCACGTAAACGCGATCAAATTAAAATGAGAGTTTATATGGACAGGCGGGTTACCTCACACACCTGCGGTCCCCTACCTCCATGTAAACAGGCCCTTAGAAAGGTTAACATTAACGCAAACAACGAATGCTTTGCTAAACCTTAGTCTCACCTTTATTCTCGCCGATTGTAAACTCTCCTTCATACACCTGGTCACTGAAAGCTATCTTCCAGTGAGAGAGAAGTGAGTTGATCGCTGGAACATTGGCTCCGCCCGTATCAGGCATCCACCACTGTCTCGTATTTTCGTCATAAAACTTGATCTTCCTCATAACCGGGACATTGAACCAGTCGCCCACCACGATAACTGATAAGCCTTTCTCTTCAACGTCTTCCCTTAGTTTGGTGATCTCTTCGGCAAAGTATTCTTCTTCGCTGTCTACAAGAAGTAACGTACCTAAGAGAAAACAACACGAAACGTTACAATCAGATAAGCTTAGGGACTGATGCCAGCGATTTCTAACTGCGAATAAACGCAGAATCCAAAGAAAGAATAATAGGAATGGACCGTATAAAGAACGTGAGGACACTAAGGAGCTAAAAGGTCATTGACTCACAGAAATTGTGTGCGATAGGGCAATATGATACTTCAGTCAGTCAGTAGCAAACAGTAATTTGCCAGTGCACAAAAATTGAAATAGCGTTAAAGCCAGGCGCACTCAGTGTTTTATTGGCATAACAACAGACACAGCATCGGAGTCAGCACGTGAATACAACTTTTTGTAGGATATAACATCACTGTCAGATAATAGTCAATTGTATTCTATACTACGTAACGACAGTTGCTTATTTTACGTCACTGCGTGACACTTACTTACAGATTGCATAGATAATATAGCTCACGCGCTGATTTAAGGAAACAAAGAACAATTTTGGCTTGATTTCGAGCTACGCATTACAATAACGTTTAGCGAGCCAAGAATTAACCGCAGCACTATAGTATTTCCTTTTTGTGAAAGTATGTCACTGATGTATTAAGAGCTGTAGTTCAGAACGGAAAAGACACTGAGGGTGTAACACCGAACGCGCCTTGAGAGAGAATAAACGCATTTAGTGGAATTGAAAGATACAGTCCTTGATTGTAAACCAGCGCCGGGAAATATTCCCGAACAATAATTACACCAAGTTAAGAAGAATGAAAAAGACCTCGTTGACTACCGTTAGGTAGATCAGAAACACTCTACACGCTCACAGCGACATGCATTTTTTACTAAATGTTTACTAGGTGATCCATAAGTCATTACATTCGAGCATTATATCATATAGTCTTTGTATAGGCGCCAACTGATTTATAAGATGCGAAGCGTTACAAATTTTAGAGCCTGAAAAAAAAGAAGGAAAATGGCTTCTTACTGTATTTTGTGGCATCAAAGCACGTGAACGGCGAACCGAGAACTTCCACAAAATACCCGGCATTCCTGAGGTGCATGTACATATCCTTGAAGTTGGTGTGAATGTGATCACCATTCCTGAAAGTAAAGTTCAACAATTATACCAGCTGATTGGCAATACCTCCCACTTAAGCTCCCTGTCTTCGCTAGAAAACAAAGCTAATCGTAACTTACCAGTCTAAGGGGTCGTTCCTCATCTTCAAATTGTCCCGCGGGAAATATCCGGAAGGATAGCGAAGGTTGTGATATTGATCCCATAACAGTCGCTTGCTGCAAGGATTAAATGGGTAAGAGTCTGATGAGAATGGTCAAAATACAAATACAAAATGAAATAGAAATTCAGTAACAACGCAAAACTCTGCCCAGTAATCGCCCCTGACCTGCGGTCCAAGGGGTCAGGGAATGGTTATTCCAGCGCGATTTCTGTAACGGAGCGAAGCTGCGCCGCGACGATCTCTTAACTGGAGAGTCACATATCGGATAGGTTCTGTGTTCGGACCGTAGCGGAAGTAGTCTGCTACACAGTCGTTTTTTAGTATCGTCACGTAACGCTGGGGACGTTTCGTGACGACACTAAAAACAACTGAGTAGCAGACTATAGCGGAATTGAATAAGTAGGAAAGATAGGATGTTAGCACTATAACGGATAGCTTTTAGTGTCGGCACGAAAAGCTATCCAGTGATAGTGTGTGAACATAGCAAAAGACACGCAAGTGCAAAATTACCTATTTTATTGACCGAATGCGCAAACAGCATTACAAACCTTCTAGGTGGTGTGGGTATCACTTTGACACGAACGGGAAGTTTGATAGTAGATCTTCTTGGCTCAATCTCCGATTCCTGCAGGTCAGAAGTAACAGTTATATAGTTAGAGATAAGTTAACACTGGACCAGAATGCTTTACGCTTTAGCAGAGTATAAAAACATGACACATGCACGATATGACCTCTTGACGCTTCCAATTTCAGCAGTTACCCTTACAGTAAGGTTTGTATAACTTGCATGAGAATGTGAACCATACGAGACGGCTTAACCAAGAATTTCACAGAAACGGTATGCTGTGAACTCTTTCTTAGAAGGAAACCATCGATGCCGGTCGACCGTCTCAAAAAAGGTGTCCTTCGTATGGACAGTCAAGTGTCTTCCTGCATAGGTATCGCATATCCCAGTTTCCTTTTTTCTTTTATTTTCATTTATTACTTATCTGTTTATTCATTTACTCAGGCTGATGCAATTTTTTGTTGTTGTTTCCATGATGTTTTGGTTGCTAGCGATATCTTTTGTAAGAATTTGGTAGTCGTACGAAAATTCTTGTTAACCTTATAGGTTTTCGTCTACAAACTTTCTCTCATCTTTCCAATTCTTGTTACGTATCAATTTATTTTGTTTATTTTGTTTGTCATGGGGAAATAAAGAAATCCAATCCTTCCCTACGCTCTCCAACTACTTGTGTACTGTTTCAGTATGATAGTTGAGCCCGAACAAATATAGTTAAGAGCTCAAACTGTAAAATGCTAGCAGGAAGAGGAACAAGGTCCTACCACAAATTTAAAATAGTGATTATGCTACAGCACAGTTTTGAAACCATCACCCATACCTGCGGCGGGGAAACCACGGTGAGTGACACGTGACCTTGTGCAATGCCTTCCCATGATTCAGCTTTTTGCGCAGGCGTGATGATAACAGCCAGATATCCAGACCACGGCCACAGAACAGATGAATAAGAAAAGGCAATCTTAAGGCAAGGAAAAGGCAGATAAAAGTAAGTGAACAATCACTGTACGTCATGCTATTCTGGTAAATGAAAGCTGAACAAATGTATTACAGCTTCAGATCATTTCTTGAAGCAATTCAATTTTGCTCGTGAAAGCCTTCTTATGTACAAGGGTAATGTCCACGGTTGAAAATTAGGAGAAACGGTATTTAAAATGTGAATTTCCGCTGTTTCAAACTTCATCGCTATCATTCCTTTTTTTTTTAATTTGTCAACTGTAGCGACTTTTTCTGTAATTGATTCCTTAAGGACCGTATCCAAGTTTAGAAAAATAAAAATAAAATCGTCGTCTTGTTTTAGCGTCCTCCATAAAACAAGAAATTACAAAATTTCACGTCGTAATCGTTCTGTTACGGCAGTGAAATGCATTGTTGTTGTTTTGGTAATGAACAACAATAAAACAAAAACAGGTTCTACGAGCAAAACAACTCTGCACGTGCATCACACTTTTTAGGAACTTGCACATTTCTTTGCCGTTCTCTAAACAACTAAAATGTAAAATGTCTTTATTCTGGCCAACGTTTTATGGTAGACGTGCACAGATGAAGCGAGTTTTCCTTCCTCTTTCTGAACACGGACATTATAACTAAGAAATCAATTAAGAACTATGTTGGTGTGCTTCGTCTTGGAATATTATTATGAAACAAGCCAAGATAGCGACACACATTAAGACCTTGCTTTGTGCAGCCATGAAAGCAAAAAAGGCAATCGAAGGGTGCCTTCTTGACCTTAAAGCAGGATGAGCTGCAAAAGAGGTTTCTCCTAGTAATGTTCTCACTCATTAATATTTACTAAAGAAAATAGTTAATACAAGAGAAAATAATGTTAAATGAGAAAATTCTCCATTTTGAATCATTAATTTCTCCTTCTAAAGTCAATTTGTGTGGGAAATAATATCAAATATTCGACACACAGTTTTCTATCACAAGATCATACACTTCGAAGCTAGTCAGAAGTTCTCCCCTACGTGTTGTGTATTCAACTTCTTCTCAGCGAATCACTTTGTCTCCATGTTTTATATAACTAGACGATTAAAAGGGAATCGTTTGACAGGAACTACTATGAATATTTTTACCTGTATGTAGTCTCCATTTTGAGACGGATAGGGATGCCACGTTGGCTGTAAATAGGAAGAACAGTTAAGTTAATTTTCAGATTACGTTTGCATTAAATATTCCGAACAAAAGCATTGTACGGCAGCTCTGGTCTTCTCTGATTATGGTTACAGGACTCTGTCTTAGTTTGTAAACATATCGTTAATGATACATTTGTTAGATTTTTTTCTTTGAGGGGAGGGGGGGGGGGTTGGAAGGGATATTTATCGGAGCGTAGACAGTTCCTCTGTTCGATTTCAAAATACAATAACAGCGTGTCAGAAGCTGCAGGTGCCATTTACCTCACGATTTCCACGTGACAACTGTAGTTTCCCCTTTAAAGCAATTTTCCATCGAATTCGAACAAAGAAACCGTTTTGGGGGCGAATTTGGATTCAGCTCCCTAAGCAACCTCGTAATAGGCAATAAAAAGGGCGATAGTATCCGATAGGTACCACAGTGCAATTCGACAAAACTCGGTACCAAGTCTCACTCTCGACTTCAAAGTGACCAAAAATGCACGTACCACTACGTTTCGGGTAATGTAGGAGATGCTCTTAAGGTGTTCCTTCATTGGTCGCAGAAAGCAACAACACATCATTGTTTATTATCATTTCCCATTGTTTCTCGGTTAGGGTATCGAACCAATTGGCTTTTAGGGTTAGGGGAGCTGCTACATGACTGTAAGTTTCTGCTGAATCAGGATAAAAGAGTGGAGGCTTTGTTTAGGAGAAACGTAACTTACATGTCCTTCGATGTGCCCAGTGACTCCCATTCCATTCAAAATAGTGATCTGATTAAAGAAACGATCACGCAGTCGTTAAGGAATCCTTTCAAAATCGCGTAAGTTACAAAACAAACGTTGCATGAGCAAGACAATGAATAAGACACACAGCTTATAGTTAATACGAATCTTGATTATCGCACCTTAAGCATATTAAGTGGAAAAAAGGTTTCGTTATTCGCTGTTGTTGTTTCTCACGAAATTCATGGCGCACATGTTAATCAAAACAGTCATCCTAAAACTGCTGATAGTGATGGTGATTATGACAACAATGTACGACCAGGCGACAAAAATTTCCTGATGACGTTGAAGATTTTGCGTTTGCGGATTGAATACAGTCTTCCTTTGAACTCTCTGTCTTGACGCCAACTGCCTCGCTTTCACGAAGCCACATGGCCTTGCTGTCATGAATCAGTGATGTTGCTGCGCACATGTCTCTCGAGTTTATGACAGGCCGTTTGATAAGTAATTCAAAACAAGCCATTATGTCAAAACAGACTTACATTTACAGTGGTTGGCATTCCACTATAGTAGATGGGCTGTGTGCAGTATGGCCACATGTAAGGACACTCGGTTAAATCTATGTACGCAGGACTCAAACTGCCAAGAAACAAGACACACACAAAAATATTTCAGTCTATGCACTAGGGAATACATCTACAGAAAGTTATCCTGTTTTGCAAGTGGTTAATTTTTTTGGAAACTAAAGAAGTCTAGTCAGTAACAGATTTAAGTAAAAGATTGTAAGAATTGGGAGTTGGGAGTGGATTCATTTTGATTTACAAACATATGTTGTAGGCGAAAAGGACTGTTCTTTTGTCTCTTAGCCCTTATTGTTCATAGAAGACAAAGTAAATAATAGTTTGACATGCAGGGTTCTATCTAGGGTATTTCAGGGGTAGGGTAGTAGTTGGGAGTGGATTCATTTTGATTTACAAACATATGTTGTAGGCAAAAAGGACTGTTCCTTTGTCTCTTAGCCCTTATTGTTCATAGAAGACAAAGTAAATAATAGTTTGACATGCAGGGTTCTATCTAGGGTATTTCAGGGGTAGAAGCTTCCCCCGCCCCCCTGTACACACTGTAACATTTCTCAAAATTGTGTCTCAAAATGCACCAGATTGCATCTCTGCACATATTGATTTCAAAAACTTCCGGGGGGTATGCCCCCGGACCATCCTAAGAAGCTCGTGGCCTTCGGCCACTAGGGACTTCTCTCCCAAACGATAAATCCTAGATAGAGCCAATTAATGTATACATTAAGAGGCGACCATAAGTAGGGTTTCGACTGTACACTCAAACTGACAGTCAATACCTTGCTTGAGGTTTGTAGTTGCTGAGAATCTGATATGCTTTGATGAGGTCAAGTTTGCCATGACCTGAAATAAAACAAAAACAGTCTGATAGGAAAAAACTTCCCACTCACAGTTAATAATTCAACGAGTGTTCAAGAGCAGGAAAACCGTTTGTTATAACGGCGATACCTTACAAACATGTATATCCGTATCAGGGCAATATTTCATATATTTTATTATAGCAAGAGAGACAATGCATTTGTTACCCTACGTGTTCCATATAGGGGTTTCTTAACATTAACATTGGGGTATCATTTAAGGTAAATACATTGTTTACAGTGGAAGTGCACTATACTCAAATAGTCACCAAAAAACAATTTAAAGGTAACATAGCTAAAAACCCCAACATGCAAGAGGTAAATATCTTTCTATTTATACATGTATGACCGAGGAGGTAAAGACAGGAAAATCGAGAAACAAATCCGGCTAGCGGTCAGGGTGGGACAGGAATCCGGGACCCGCCATATTGCGAGTCTAACGTGGTGAGCTCACAGCTGCCTCCCTGCTCATTTATTGTAAGCCACATGCGCATGTCAGAAAACATTCCATCTTTCACCTCTCAAAAATATTCTGTGAAAGAATAAAAAGCTTCTCTTCTTATAAGAATGATTATCAGGGCTCGAAAAAAACTTGAATTCCAGCTTGTCCTTTGGGCAATCAGCTCTCACATTTCGCTTGCCTGGGGACACTTCTTGCTCATCTTAGTTAATGATTTAGTTAGAAGATGACTAGCTTGGACTGTTGCCCATTGGGCAGGTGAGCTTTATAGTTATCTGCCCAGCAAGAAAATCAAACTGTCCCAGACTGCTGGACGGGACTTGTTTCTAGCCCTGAACATGGAAAGGCAATTTACTTTTTAAAGACAAAATACATGCAAGTCAAGAAGAAAATATGCACCTTGTTCAAAGATGTTAAACCCTGGAAGGCGGCGAGCTGAAGCCATCAGAGCTTGTTTGACACTGGCCGGATTCACAGCATTTCCACGATGCTGAACAGCACTAGGGACAACATGAAAAAAAAATTGAACTCCTTTTTGTTCTAAAAATGATTTTACACTAGTAAAGGTTATGCCGACTGAGAAATTCAGAGGCTTTTTCGCTTTTCGTCAAGGAAATAATTAGGTCAAGACGTTTCTTCTTTGCCCCAGTAGTAACCTTTACAATGGAGTTTATCATTTTCCTTGAGTTTAAATGCCGTTTACTGTCACTGGGTATGTCCACCATAAGAGACCTTACGATCGGCAGTTCCCGCAAACCGCGAACGTCAAGAAGTCACGTGACTAGTGCCTGCTGTCAGGTTTGTGGTTTGCGATTCACGTTCGTACGGCTAGACCACGCTCTAAAGGCAGGTGATTTACCCCAAGGTTTTTTGCATCCTACAACATCACAATCCCACATTTGAGAGAAAACACTACTTTTAGAACTCTTTTGGTTATCAGTTATGGAATTTTTTCTTCGAAACGCAATTTTTAAAGACAATTTCTCCGCTGAAATAAAAGTGAACGAATGAATGAATACAAACATGGAAGCCGCGAGATACCACCTGGGAATCTTAAGTCCCAAATATGGGCAGGCCAGTAACGTTGAACCGCATACCGCACGCGGTGGTTTGCCGTTTGCAGTAAGATGGCCACACCTCGATCTTAAGGTCTTTATTATTGTGAAAACCAGCCGGAACACGAGCAAATGACGTCATTATTCCACTATCGGAGCAGAATCTTGCGCAATTATGTCCTGCTTATTCCGCAGAACTGGAACAGCAGGTCAATCGAACGGATGTTCTGGATTATTCTATGTATCCCTCTTCTAGAATCGAGCATTAAAGGTCAATCGAATGCATCCTAAATCACACTATGCTTCCCTTAAAAGTCAATGATCAGCTCCCAGACCTTCAAATTATTCGCGTTAAAACACGTTTTTCTTCTTCAGAGAAACTTTTCAAACTGACTTTTCGTATTTCCTATATTCTGAAGCTATTTCTACATCTCCAGCAGGTATTAGCTGAATGTGCAAAGCTGTGGTACAGTAAGTGTCACCAATTCAAGAAACTTGTTGAATCACTCCAAAAAATAACCCTGACCCTCAGAACATGCAAGTAAGTGCTAAAGAATCAAGACTGATGTCTACCTCAATAAAAGAGAAACTGCACCAGCAACAACAGGGGACGCGACACTGGTACCAGACAGTGAACGACAGCCACCCCTGAAAACAGATTTATTAAAACAATGAGTGGATGAAATATTTACCAAGCACATACTTGAAGTACGAACACAGTGCTTACTCAAGTGTTGTCTAGATACGCTCAACTGCTACTAGCCTTCCACGCAGACGTTCTTGGGTTCACCACGCGTTCCTGCCCCACGAAGGTCGTTCGTTTGGGAGGATTGCGTAACGAGCCAAAAGAACGTCTGCGGGGGAGGTTTAATTGCTACCCGCTGTTCAGGAAATGAGTCCATGCTCCTCCTCTGATAAGCTAAAATGTCTCTTTAATATCCGGGAGGAACAAGACCGGACGTGAGAGAGCGGCGGAAATTGAACCTATTGTTTAGACTTTTTCAAAAAAACAAACAAACAAAAACAGAAAACAGAAACTGATCATACTTGAGACTTGATCCTCGTACTCCAGAACCATAAGTAACAATGTCTGGTTTGACTCGGCCATATCCATTAGGAAGCTCCTACAAGATGGCAAAACAGAAAAAGATCTTAAGGTGAATGCCTTATGGGGGTATCAGCTCAAAACAATACATGTACTTAAAATGTGAACAAGTCTCTGCTTCTTGCTTCAAATGTAAATTGACGTCATCTTTACAGAATTTTATCCCAAGTGAAAGTGTAATGACTTTGAGTTGAGTTAATATTAATTTTAATTTGGATTAATAATTCAAATTAAATTAACTCATCTCATTTTTTGAGAATAACATGAAATGTGAATAACACAGGGAACAAAGCACGCACTGCAGTCAACATAATTTGCCGTAACATAAAGGGTCAAGCCTAATGATAAACTCGTTTACATCCGTTACTGAAATTTCTGGGCAAGCAGTAAGGCCCTATTTTCTAGCTGTCACTTGTTTCAGCCCATGGAGCAGACAAGTGAAAACTGGAACTACAACTGCATTCACATAGTTGTTACAGACTGATAGAAAAAATTCTTGAGGCAGTTTTTACCCATGTAGTCATTCCTCTGGAAGAAAATCTTGCAATGTGATCTTCAAAGTTGATTCCTCCAACACCGATGACATCCATCTGATCAGCAGGATTATTCAGAGTTCTTCAAAGTGGAAAAGCAACAAATTAAAACACAAGATGATGGCCACTACATGCACACTGTTCAGAATTTGTTGTTATTTTTGTCAGAACAATGAACCCTTGAAAGAGCCTTCGTGTAACTTTTGAGTCGTGGATGGAAGCCTAACTATTATGCTGTAAATATCCAAATGAATTAATTTTGATGGCACTTTCACATAGTACTGTTTGTTTTTCAGGCTTAATTCAAAACTTAATTTGGAATTTTCGCGTCGCAAATTCACCTTAACTGATTCTGGATGTAAATAAACTGTATGGCTCATGTACACATATCCTTGTGACAGTCAGGAAAAAGGTGTGATAATGTTTTCGTGTCTTGGTGTAAAAAAAAATTGTTTATTATACATGCAGGCTTGGTTTATTTTTTGTCTTTCAACATAATAAATCCTTTGTCAATGTTTTGCAGTATCCCTTAGGCCCAGTTCAAACGTCACAATTCACATGTCAGATGTGCCAAACTGGATCCTAATGAGGGAAATCTGACGTTCTTGTTCATTGGCATTAGATTCAGAAAAATGTGAAATGGGAGTTATGTACTGGGCCTTACGTATACAGTGTAAGTTTACATTGGGGGTATGGAACAATGTCTAATGAAATTTGTAATAGAAATACAATCATGTTAAGTTCATCAAATGCAGTACACTGCTGTTTTCTTACCCATAGAGGGGGCCATCATTGCCAATAGCAGAAACCATAACCACACCATTGGCAGTAAGCTCCCACACCTGACAATCAAAAAGCAAAACAACAATAATTATTAAATACATTTATTTTATAAATACTGTAACAATCAGGGTGAGCCAAAACCTCTGTCCGATTGTCCAGGACAGGTAGAAATTTAGTTCAGACATGCAAACCTTATGACTTGTCCGTGGGAAAAGAACATTTTTAATTAGAAAAAATACAGAAACATTTGAAAATTGACTTCAAATTACAGTAGAACACAAGTAAAATTTATCTTAGTCATAAAAGCAATCCTCATACTTGACAAAATAAGGGTATCCTTTTAACTTTGCTCTACTGGGGCCATTTTATTTGTTTTTGTGAGTTCCATTTGGCTTAGGAACCTGACAAAACTTTTTGCACAAGAACTCTTGCATTTTGGACAACAAATTTAATATAGTGCTTCTCCGAAGAACAAGTGAAAAAAAAAAGGAAATTTTCTCTTACTCTGTAATAATACATGTACAACTGGGCCAAGTTGTTTGTAGTTCTTATAAATAGGAGATATGAGTTGTTGTGGAAACTAACCCCTGATTAGAGCTACATGTCCTTTCAACTACTCAACCCTGGAATATAAGGTTCACCCCTCCTCCACCCACCCCTCACCCCTAATAGTTTCTGCTACATCCCATCCTTCCCTGAAAGTTAAGTGTCCTAAATCTTAATGAATAATGAATTGTGCAGTGTGGGGTACATGGACAACCTAAAAAAAATTGTGAATACAACTTGTAAGTAGTTACACAAACCTTATCAACAAAGGGTTGGTCCATGAAGTCTGGTCCTCCAATGCTCAAATTCAAAACATTCACTTTCTTCAGAATTGCATAGTTGAATGCATCCAAAAACCACGAAGTGTAGGAAACCTGTCATTAACATAGTAAGATTTGCAATAATAATGACAATAACAATGATGATGATTATAATAATATTAATACATGTAATAACAATTTTGCATTATTGACTTATCACCAAGAATAATATTTTTCATGTGTTTGAAAAAAAACAAAAACAAAACAAAAAACAACATTACACTGCTTAAGCGCAGCCTTGTAGTCTGTGCAAGAACAAACTTCTCTGAAGGCATACCCTCTCTAATAGCATTAATGATGATAATGATAAAAAAATCATTAATAATTTACAACTTGCTTATCCATGCAGCTATATGCATGTAATGTGTTTCAATCAATATTCATGTACCTGACTATTAGTGAACACTCTGAAGATGTGCAGCTCTGCATCAGGTGCAAAGCCTAAACACTCCCTTGAACTGGCCACAACACCAGCTACAAATGTACCATGGCCAAGTCCTGCCATTAAAAGTACAACAACAGGTATTAAGTAATAAACTAAACTAATGGAAGGAAATGGAAATGGAAAGGTAATGGCACAGGTGACTTAAACTTTTGAGATGCATAATACAGTGTATACATAATTGTTTACAAATAAATTATAGTGTCTCGCTGGGACAATAATTAATTATTGTAGCCTCACTCAACAACCCTAGTGATGGCTGTATTTGGTGGCTCAGACATAAAAGAGGATTATACACAGGGTGCAAAGAAAGTCACTTTTAAAGCTTGCCATTCAGGCAAGCTTAAGCTAGAATATAATTACCCAAACGACATTTCAACTAGCTCCAAAATCATTTTGATGAGTAGAAATAATTTGGGAATTCACAGTTCTTCTGTAATTTGAATTCCTCAAAAAAACTTCACTTGCCCGTTGGGCAAGTTAAGAACAAAATTCACTAGCCCGATAGCAAAATCCACTCGCCCCGGGCTATCGGACACTACACGCACGCCGACACGTGTACATTTTATTACAATTGTAACATCTCAGCTCCTGAATTCATCACTTCCGTGATAATTTTACATGCATACAATGTTAAAAAAGTGCAATAAAATTGGACTGTTACTGTTATTAGTATACGTAGTCACTTAATGACAATACATGTAGAAACTGTAGTCAAATGTTTATGATTTCTCACCATCATCCAGTGTTTTTTCCTCTGTCCAGTTGGTTCTGTCCATAACCTTTCTAAAATGAGGATGATTCTTTGGCAAACCAGTGTCAAAAATGGCAACTTTAACTCCATCCCCTGCAACAAAAAGGCAATATCTCATTATTTGTGAAGGGTTAAACACCATGAACTCTCTTTAACAGAGGTCATTAGTGGACAGGTCAACATGTACACTTACATCGGGAGCTGCAAATATAGTGTAACTTTTTTTTGAAAGGTCATACAGCTGTGTGCTGTATACCCGCCTTTAGAAGTCACCATTCAGACTGGTCACCGCCATAATTATATTCAATGAAACAACATTATTTTGTTAGTAAGATAATTCATGTGTGCTCTAAGAACAACTGCAGATTTTATTTTATCTGCAAAATGATAGTCTTTGCTACATGTATTAACTTTTGTACATTACAAAAACACTACTGGACAGCTCTACTTAAATGGCTGCCTTCACAAAAGCCTGTTGTTTGTTTGTTTTTTTTCTTTTTCAACTCTCATACAAACTCTGTAGTTTTGCATTCCCGTAAGCGGCCAGTTCCAGTTACAGACACCTTTTTCGAATACCAAAGGTGTCCATTTTAAGGAAGCTTCCACTGTACTTTTACTATAGCCATCATCATCATCATTATCATTATTACATGTATTACTAAATTCCTCCTACCTGTGTGTCCCATGCTCCACAACACATCAGCCTGCAGGACATGAACAATCTAAAAGAAAAATGAATAATAAAAATTATGATACTTTGGACCATGGACTGCTTGATAAATGGATGAAAAAAAAAGAGAGAGAGACAGTGCAAATAAAAAACACTTCCACACTAGTACTCCCAGAGAATACTATTAAATTATAAACTGTTCTAGATGTACAGCATACATAAACATGTACAGCTGTAGGTTAGTACAAAGTTTTATCTAAAACCGTTGCCATTCCACCATACTATAAATTAACGGTGATAGCTAATATTGTACAGTACACCTCTCCTTATCAACACCATTCCACTAAGAACAATATTCTCCAGGTCTTACAAATGGCAAACTTAATAACCTCTATCTCTAACCCCAATCTCTACAATATAGACACTCTTGTAATTGTGCACAATTGGCTCTTTTATCCCAATTTTGGTGTCTGTTTTAATATGGTTTGACTGTATTAACAGTACCACTGATATACTGTAGTAAACAATGATATTTTCTTTTTCTCTGTTATCATTTCTAGGACACCTATCAAGTACATGTAGTTAAGACTCGAGCTTTCAGTGGTACGGAAATTTCTACAGTGTACATTTTCCCAGAAAGTGTTTAATTCATGATATTGAAACAGTAATTCTTGCAGTACACACCTGTCTAGGAACAGATCTTAAAATCCTCCGTCCAGAATTGTGACGCAGCTGTGATTGTATCAAGAGGTTGTGACTCTAAAACAAGAACAACCAGAACAGTGACTAATCTACAAGTTACAGGTGATAATTTTATTTATTGTTCATTTTTGTTTATTTAATTTCTTTAAAATACAGAAGAGTAAAAAACTAGCAAGATATAGAAAACAATGACTTAACAATGAAATCTGTTCAGTATTCATTAGAGAGGCGAGAAGACAGTCACATGGCTACAGTAATATGGTGCTCATAATACATCTAGGTTATAAAGTCACTAAACGTACTGTACCATCAACTTTGCATGCATATGTAACAGGTCAAAATTATATGATTATTCAGAATGGAGTTTTTTAAACCAAGGTTGATTCTCAATATTCTTTGTCTCCTGGCCATAATTGAATAATTGGGGCTAAGATAGAACAGAAGTAGAGAATCAACCAAGGTTAAAAAACCTATATATATTTATCAAAGTTAAAACTACGAAGGAAGAGAGAGGAAAACTTTAAACGCATTAAAAATAGGAAAACATTATTTTGGTACATGTATAAAAAAGCATACATGATCATTAGTAAAAAAATATAATGTGCATGTACAATGTAAAGAAGACCATCAAAGTTAATGACTCAACTCACATTAATTTTGTATGCAGCTATGAAAAGAAAGCCTAAGAAACTTTCTTTTTACAACTGCATAAGTTGCATCCTCAGTTCCGATCATCTTCTTTACATTAATTTATTTCTTCATCTCGCAGTTCAAATATATGAAATTCATATAGTTATTCATTATTTTATGATCATTAGTATTGAGAAAAGTCCACATTCACACTTAAAACTATAATAGCAGTAGAATTGCCTACCATTCTTTTAGCTGACTTATCTTTATCACAAGTACAACTGTATTACTACACATACATGTATGTCTAAAAAAATAATCCATATATACAGTAGTGTATAGGGTGAGGTGGGGGGAGGGGAGGAAGGGGGGGTGGATACATGTATGTCTAGTGAATGTATATAACAGACTATTCAGACCTCCAACACTACATATAAATGAATTTGCAGAATGACAAAACTTTTCTAAGAAAGAGGTGAGACAATGTGACAAACAAACACGAAAAATGCTCACCAATGCCAAGCTTGATCGCGTTGTTCGCCTGAAAGGTAAATAACATTAATATCAACAGTCAATGTTTCAGATAATTTAATGCATTATTTAAAACAGCAGCTCTAACTAACATACAGAAAAAAGCCTCCATGCAAAGTAATGGCAACTATGTGAAAGTCTCAAGAAGACCTTGCAAACTGCCCACGGATGTGAAAAGAATTGAGATAAGTTTTCTTTAATACCGTGCACTCCACTTTTGAGACCAGCAGCCAATATCCTGCTCTGCACAGTCAGCACCTGGTTCATTTTGTTTGTCAGAATCCCTCTCTTTCACTAGGAAGAAAAAAGATACACATAAAAGGTACATATAAAGGTACACATAACGTATCAAGAAATCAGCCAATTAAAAAGTTCATTAGTACTTTTTATCCCAGGAGGAGAAATAACACTATCCTTGTCATCTTCTGGCAATCAAAAGGACATTGTAAACTGGAACAGTCTGTACATTTGACAATGTGAACTGATCAAAATGGTGAAGGATCAGGAGTGGATCTAGGGGGAGGGTGTTGGGTGTGCACCCCTCCTCCCCCCCCCCCCCGAGGGGGGTTTTCACGCCTTGTTTTTTGCAATATGCCGCGGTAGAAAAAAGTTTTCAGACCGGAAGAGGGGCGGGTGGGGAAAGGGGGGAGATCTGGGTGGTCGCCGGAACCTCAAAAAAAAAAAAAAGAGGCAACAGACAGCTAGACCGACACACCACACGCAAGAGACCTACGAGGAGTTTTTAACCCAGGAGGAGAAAAAACACTATCCTTTTCATCTTCTGGGAAACAAAAGGGCATTGTAAAACGGGACAGGCTGTACATTTGGCAATGTGAAATGATCAAAAAGGGGAAGGGACAGGGGGGGGACTAGGGGGGGGGGGTTGGGTGTGCCCCCCCCCCCCCCCCCCCCCCCCGAGAGGGCTTTTCACGACTTGTATTCTGCAATATGCAGATGTAAGATAAAGTATTCTCAGCAGTTCACATTATGTTATTGCCTAGTCCAAAGCCTTCTTCGTATTCACTTTTAAAATTTGTTTACATTAAGGTGACTTTTTAAAGTTTATCTCACAATACACTGTCTTGCTGTACCTTCTACACTCTTGAGGAATCGTTCCACTCTCTTCTGTGGTGTAACGCTCCGAATTTTTGGATGTCTCTTTAATGCATCAACACCATTGCCAGTATCTCCTTTCAGCTGCAATATAAGCAAAAAAATATTAAATTCTAGTGTAAATTACTTGCAGCTGAATTATATTTAAGTCACGCATGAAATAACAATCACTGACCAAAATGTACAAAGCAAGTCTAGAGAACATGTATGTTACTAGTCAAATTTGACTTCACATTAAATGTTCTAACCTAGGTTGATTCTCAATTTCTCTTGTCTCCTAGCCCAAAGAGACAAAAGAAATTGAGAAGCAACTTAGGTTAAAAAAGCATTACCTGAAATCAAATTTGACTCGTAACATGTACATACTTCTGGCAATATGTGGTACGTGTCTGAGTGGACCCAAATTGCACGTACATGTATGCTCAAAAATGTATCAGGGTACATTACATGCACATGTAAGTTTTTTATAGTATGAAAGCAGTACTTATGATGTACTATCCATTCATTTTCCTCTTAATAATGTTGTTTCATTGTTGTTTCAAATGGCCTAGCAGCGTTAACGTTTACTTGCAATTTACACGACCCATATTGCAATAATATTGTGTCTACACCTGTACCATTGAAATAATTCCCAGTATATTCTACTACATGTAATTAAAGAACTGCCCAGTTAATATGGAATCTACAATTATAATACAATGTAAGTACAGGTTTAACAGCTTCAAAAACTCATAAATAATTCATAAAGAAAATCAAAGAAATTAATGTTTAATGAGTGTATTTACATGTATCTGATAACAACATGGCTAAATTTTATGTCCAATTTTTTAGACCAAAATAACCCCAATCAGATGTAAAAACTCTTGGCTCCACCTTGAGTTTTTAAACCTGGTAATACACTCCTGCTTGTTTTTTTAAACAGTAAGTTAAGGTTAGTTTCCTCACCTTTACAAGGGAGAAATCACTAGGGTAATGACTTGCAGGATTATGCCGACGGATTATCTTCCAGGAATAAATGGAAACTGAGCCAAGGGCGGCGGTAACAAGGTCATCTCGCACTGATGTGCTGTAATAACCATTGAAGACAACTATATATTCTACAAACAAAGTACATACACATGTACTTTTATCAGTGTTTTAAATCACAATCTGAAATTCACTAATATGCAAACTAAGATTCACAGGGAGAAAATAACGAATCACTACAAAGGAAGTTTGGATCTTGGATCATAATAACCATAAAAATGTTTGGAAGTTAGAGTGGACTTTCACATGTAAGTCACTTCAACAGCCAACTACAGACACATTAAGAAGTGTTTGACCTAATATCCAAAAAAGAACGAGTTTGGTCTTCGACAAGCCGCCAACTTGTTTATTAGTACCTGGATAGTGGAAGAAACCTTAAATCTTTTCAATGATGTGTTACATTTACTTTTCTGGAAATGGCATTTCTGAGCTGCCCAATTAAAAAAAAAATGGAAGACCCAACACCCCTAGAGGAAAGCGACAGTGTTAGTACTTGCTAATATAGCCAACTGGTCCCAGTTTTTCAAACGTTGGATAGCAATCTTCACTGGATAAATCACTATCCAGTGGATAAGTATTAGGGAAACCGATTCTGCAATCATTTGAATAGAGTTTTATCCAATGGATGGGATTTTCCACCTTTCAAATTTAACTTGGCCTTGCTTGAGTTCTTAGTGCAAACACTGAAAACCTGTAAGTGTCAAAACATATACAACATATAATATCATCTTAATCACCCAATACAGTTGAACCTTGATTATCCGGACTTGTTACCCTGGTCCTGTTTTTTTCATGAATATCAATAAGATGTGATCTTGAAAAATTGAAACGATTTAAAAGTTCATTAGCTCTTCCAAACGTGTTAAAATTGCTATTTGCTGTGGTTCTAAGAATAGCAGCAAATTAAATGTTTTCACGGTTCCAGCTTATTGACAGCTGTCACAGAGACTCAAGTATAAAAGGGCGGGATTTTACTGAGGCAATCGTTCTAAGCTGACATCGCTGCCCGAGTTTCGTTTGTCAATGCTTTTTTCTTTTTGTGTCATTTGAGTTGATTATCGTTGGTTGTTGATGTACTCACAATTTTGTATTCTAGTTCAACCTCTCTCCCTCGAGGTTCATGTTTAGTGTCTGGCTCTGCTTTTGGGAGGGTTCAGGTTTCCTCCTTAGTGAAGGGGGTTTTTCCTGAAGGGTAGCAGACACAATATCATCTTTATTATTGATCAAAGAACTTTACTTGGAACCTGTTACATTTTTTCTACTTCACTGCCTTTGCAGTACCTAGGTGTTTGTATTTGTATGAATAAACGGGGACTGATGTTTGCATTACGCTGGGCTTCTATCCAGTGCAGGAATGATTTCATTGTTTTCACTGTTCACCATTTCAACAATAGGGAATCGGGAAAAACGCACTGTTTTTTAATCTGTTTTTGCTTTGAAAAAGCACAAGCAGTTGGAGATGAACAATTATTCTGATGCATTCAGCTGAATTCTGATTGGCTTGTTATGTTGCTAAGGGTATGTCATGCTTGATTCAGTGTGGGTTATGTAAACACAAACGGGAAAAAAAAAGCGGTAATTATGTAATATTATCGCTTAGGTTAAGGGTGAGATCGAGATACAATAGAAAACAACTAGGAAATCTGTGACCATAATTCCACTAAAAGCAAACCTGTGGACAACCATATCAAGAGTGACTATTTGTCGGAAACCCGTTCACGACAAAAGTGGCGACCCTGCCAGGACACGGAGAAATCAAGAATATGGAAAAGAACATCAAAAACCTCAACAAGACGATCTACTCAAGTTTACATGTTCACCAGCAAGTAGCGCAACAGAGAATGGAAACCTTACATCAATGGAAAGGCTGTGCAACACTTTAGCAATGAAGGTGGAAGAAGTCCATGACCTTAAGTGACGCCTTTGGTGACGCAAGCAGCCACGGTATGTCAACAGCAGTTTATGCTGTCATGCATCAACCATCCAGGGTATCACAAGGACTCATGACAGCAAAGTCAAGACTCGGGAAGAAGGGATTAAAAATAACAAGACTCGAGCTGGTGGCTGTGCATATGGCAGCCAACCTAGTGAGCAATGTGAGAGATGCGTTGGAAGGATTTCCACTCGAAGGTGTGTACTGTTGGCTTAACAGTAGGGTCGCCCTTCACTGGATCAAAGAGGGAGGAGACTACAAGCAGTTTGTCAGTAATCAAGTCCAGAAGATCCAAGAGAAAGAACACATCCAGTGGAGGCACGTGGGTACCAAGGAAAACCCGGCAGATTTAGGAAGCTGTGGCGGGGGAATCAGCAAGTGTTTGGATCTTTGGTGGCGTGGGCTATCGTGGCTTACGTACCAAGAAAGATGGCTTGAAAATACTGTTACCACACCTACCAAGGAAACACAAGCAGAAGCCAAGATTAGAAAGAGCTTCTGGACATGACCGCCATAACAGATGACCAACTAGACCTGATGATGCAAAAATGGGATGCGTGGGTGGCGCGATTTGTTTGGAACAGCACAACTAAGCACCAGCAGAGAATCACTAAGCCAATCACCACTGAGGAGACAACCAGACAATTACAATTCTTGGCATGAAGATAACAAGATAGAAGCCTGAACACAACCAACTTTGAGGAAGATAAGCTGCAACTCAACCTACAAAAGAACACAGCAGGTATATTCAAGTGCAGAGGCTGTATCCAGGGAGTTTATCCAATCTATCTACCTATCTACCTACCATATTTGCTAAGGAGTTCGTCATGCATGCTCACTTCCAAACTCCGCATGGGGGAGTTGGATTAACTATGGCAAACGTCAGAGAGTGTTACTGGGTACCAGGGTTAAGAAGTCTGACGAAACAGGTTATACGAAGCTGCTATGGCTGCAAAAGATATCAAATCACGTCATTAGCAAAACCACCAACCAGAAGTTTGCCAAAGGAGCAAACTGAAGGATCGGTACCATTCAAGTACATTGGCGTGGATTTCGCTGGACCAGTTAAGTACCTGAATAAGTCCAAAAGAGAAATGAAAGCTTACATTGTGCCGTATGCATGCTGCCTAACTCGAGCCATGTACCTGGAGATCCTACCTAACCTTAGCGTGGAAGAGTTCATCTGCAATATCAAGCAACTGATTGCCAGGCAAGGACGTCCGGAGAAGATCTTCTTGGACAAAGAGAAAACCTTTGTCGCAGCAGCAAAGTGGTTGAGGAAGATAAGAAATGATGAGAAACTCAATGACCTGCTTGCTAAACAAGGGATTGCATGGCACTTCAATCTCAGCTGCACGCTATGGTGGTGAGGCCAATTCGAGAGGTTAATTGGCGTCATAAAGCGGAGCCTGTACAAGTCAATTGGGAATGGGAACCTGCGATGGCACGAGCTGGAGGAAGTAATCCTAGATGTCAAAAATTACTCTAAATAACCGACCCTTGGGGTATGTCAAAGATGATGTCCAAATGCCGGTTCTGACACCCAGTACAATGCTGTATGGGCAGCTCAATCAGTTACCAGAGGAGGAGGCAGAAGTGATCGAAGATGTTAACCTTAGGATATTTAATGAGCAAAATATCTGAAACAATGCAAAGACGTCCTGTGGCCAAGGTGGACCACAGAGTACCTTAAAGCATTAAAAGAGTGCCACAATCTCAACTGCAGAACAGGAGAAGTGACTGTGAACCCAGGGGACATTGTTCTGATCAAAGGGGAAGAATGTGACAAACGAAGATGAAGGTTTGGTACTGTCAAACAGCTAATTCAAGGCAGAGATGGCATGGTGAGAGGAGCACGGCTGAGAGCTGGGAAGTCCTATTTAGAGGGATAGTGCAGCATTTGTATCCTCTAGAGTTGTCTTGCGACCGACCTGTTGAAGAGAGGAGCGTGACCCTATATGCCCAAGCACCTGAGTTCCAGCCAAGAAGATCCGCGGCAGTTGCGCATCAGCGGATTGCTGCCATAGCACAGGAAGAATCTCAGAAGGACTGAACATTAATTGAAATAAAACCCTGAACTAGACATTGATTTATATTCCACATCAGCTTGACTCAGTTATAGTTGCTTAATTTGAACACAATATTTTTGATTGCTTATATTTGCCACTGTGAGAGCAGTGCTCGACTTTCAGAAAAAAATCTTGGGGCCAACAGGCCCCCATGTTTTCATTTTTGGTCGCCAGAACAAGTATTCTGGTCGCCAAAAATTATATATTATAAGGTATTCAAGCTTAAGGTTCAGGAAATGGAATACACATTAAGAAAAACAAACTTAAGGAATCTTAAAAAAACTTATTTGGGATATTAAAGAACAAAATCTGCAAAATTTGTTTTGTGTCCCATGTATTTGCACGTTCAGAAATGAACATCGGTGAAACTTCATCTATTTCGCGGTTGCCTAACACGTGATCGAAAGTCTCCAGAAAGAGGAAACGTCGCTAATGTTTTCGGGCAATGAAGTTGATTTCGCGAGAAGTCTGTTAGACAAACAGCATGAGTTCAACGGTACTTCATTAGAAGTCAATAAAATACTTCAGAGCTTTTATTTGGGTCGCCACGCTCAACAGAAATTTGCGTAAAGTTGTTTACAAGAATTGCGAAGTTCGAGTAAGCGCTGTTCGTTCTCGATTAGCTTCGATTAGCTTTAGCTTTTATCAGACTAATCTGCTATCGAGTCCGCAATCGAGATACATGTTGGGCAAAAAGAAATTGTTTTAAATATCGATGCGCTAAAAGTCATTCCCGGAGAAACACGGGACGATCTGTTGAGAATTGCGATCGATTTGCCCGAAAGTCGATAAGTCTTTCGTCGAATTCATTCATTTCACAATCCTCTTTCAAGTAAACGTAGATTAGAGTGTTGAAAGAAATCGTTAAAGCGTTTAGACAAATCGTTAAAATGTTTAGACAAACCGTTAGAGCGTTTGGGCAAAACGTTAGAGCGTTAGCAAAACCGTTAGCTATCCGTTAGTTTTGTAAAGGATAACAGATTATCATTAGTGTACGTTTACCCAAAGAAGAAAGTCACCTATCTTGGTGGCCAGGTTGGCGACTAGCGGTGAAAATTTAGTCGCCACTGAGTAAAAGCTGGTCGCATTGGCGACCCCACAGGTCGCAACGTCGAGCCCTGGAGAGTCAAATAGGGGGAGAGCGTTGGCGACCACTGCATGACGTAGAATTTCACGCAGAGAGTGGAACATAAGCTCGCTGAACATTGAACCCTTTCGTAATTATGTAATATTATTGCTTAGGTTAAGGGAGAGATCGAGATGCAATAGAAAACAACTAGGAAATCTGTGACCATAACTACACTAAAAGCAAACCTGTGGACAACCATATCAAGAGTGATTATTTGTCAGAAACCTGTTCACGACAAAAGTGGCGACCCTGGCAGGACACGGAGAAATCAAGAATATGGAAAAGAAAATCGAAAACCTCAACAAGACGATCTACTCAAGTTTACATGTTCACAAGCAATCAGCGCAATAGAGAAGGAAACCTTACATCAATGGAAAGGCTGCACAACACTTAAGCAATGAAGGTGGAAGAAGTCCACGACCTTAAGGTGACAGTCTATGAGAGTCAAATAGGGGAAAAGTGTTGGTGACTGCATGACATAGAATGTCACGGAGAGAGTGGAACATAAGCTCGCTGAACATTGAACCCTTTCGTAATTATGTAATATTATCGCTTAGGTTAAGGGAGAGATCGAGATGCAATAGAAAACAACTAGGAAATCTGTGACCATAATTCCATTAAAGCAAATCCGTGGACAACCATAGCAAGTGATTATTATTTTGTCGGAAACCCGTTCACGATAAATCGTGAAATTCACCAACAGCGATGAGGCGAACGAAGGATTGAAACGAAAGTTCCTGAAGGAACACCACAACAATATTGACAATATATATTGGCCCTATACAAACACATGTAATGCTGCTTCGACGAATGATGCACTTTGCTATGCGATCACATGGTAATTCGTTAACACAAACTAGTATGCCTGAACATTAAATTTTTAGAGTGCTGTAAATGCACAAACTCTCAAAACAGTAACTTTAGTATTTCTAAATACACAACATACAGACTGTACATAAATGCAAGTAGGAGCTAATTCATAGTAAAATTTTGTTTTCTTCATTCCATATTTTTACATTATTGTCTCATTAATATTCATAATTTCGATTATCCAGACTATTAGAGAGCTTTAGATTCTAAGACGAGTACGGCTACAAGTACAAGACTTTCTTAGTAGTAAGTAGTATTTGCGCACTACTATCAGTTTTAGCAAGAATGTCGAAGTGGCAGAAACAAGTTATCAAATGTTAGAAGTT